TCATTATTTGACATAAGTATAAACATACAAATGTTTGGATTTTGCTCCTTGTTAGCTATCTTAAACACCAAAAAATGCTGGATCCGTCACTGCCACAGATCTCTTGTTTTTGAAGCAAATTTGCTACAGCATTTTAACGCTGCAAATGTGCAATAAATACCTATATACATATAAATTCTCAGCTTAAGACAAATATCTCAAGAAAATATGTTAAAAAAAAATTTTTAAATGTACTTTTAAGCTTCAGAGTTTATAGTTAGATATCGAAGCAAAATTCAATTTATTTGAACCATTTAATAACAAGAAAGCAAAAAAGCAGTTGCCATAGCTAGCTCCTTGAATCCACTCTTCTTCTTTTTTTAATGGTTTTTTAAAAAAACACTTTAATTGAATTAGCTTCTGAAGCTTCTCCAAGCTCATCACACACTCTATATTATCTTGAATAAATTTTACTGTAAGCACAGCAAAATTGAATTTTTTGTTGCAAAATATTTTTCTTAAAACAAGAAGTACGTTTCTTGTATTAAAAAATAAATATCCTACCTTGCAATTTAATTTTAAAAACAAGAAATATATTTCTTGTTTTTAAAACTTAAAACAAAATGCAATAACTGCTTTCAGAAGGATTTCCGGTCTTGATTCTATCCGTTTTAACACCTTTTCGGACCTCCCTTTCTTTTTGAATACAGAACTTTTAAACATTTTTATATTGTCTTGGTCAAAAGATGCTAACGCCAGCACCAAATACCTCTATGGTTTTACCAAGATTTAAATTTCACCTCTGCAGCAGGCTCAATATACATCTGCCAATAGTCTTGTTAATCTTAAAAGTGTAAATAAAAAATAATGCAATGTAGATAAAATAAGATTTAAAATGACATTGTTAAATACTTATTACATTTATTTTTGACAAGATAAAATCAAAGTGCTACTTCTATTGTTTTCATTTTTATTATATTTCTACTGGTTTTAAGAAAAGTCTGTCATTAGAAAAAAAAAATTGATTTATAGTTATTTTTTTGTATTTTACATCTGATTTTAAACCATTTTGCAAACCATAGTTTTTAAACAATTTGTTACTTTATGACATAAATTATTCTTAAATAATAAGACTAAAATATCAAAACTTATGAGATTAAGTTTTACTTTAAGAATTGCAGAATCAGAAAAGTCGCAGGTCAAAAACCTCGATTTCCTGGAGAGAGAAATTTAGTCAGTCATTCTATTGATATCTTTGAGTATTTTATTTTTACTTAAAATAAAAACTTGCCTTATTTTAGAAAAATGCAACTTGAATTTCATAAAATTCAAGGCGTGTGAAACAGCTCCATATTTCATAAATTATCCTGGCCATATTATAAAAATCCGGAAATTTTTTTTTCTTAAATATCCGGAAAAAATCCGGAACATTTTTTTGTAATATCCGGAAAAAATCCGAAATTTACAAAGAGATTTTAAAAAGGAAGTGGGCGTGCTCTCCTCCATTCTTTAATATTACTATAATATTACGCCAGTTTAAGAGTATCCTTATTCACCGTATATATGAATAAAAAACTACATAATTTTTTCATCAAAAAAAGAATAATAATAATGATAAAATTTTAACAATAATAATAAGAAGAAGAAGATAAAGTCAATGAAGAAGTAGTAAACTATATTTAAAAGCTGTTAAACAATGCGGAAACTTTTTTAGACATGCACTTACACATTTAAATACATAATGGATAATGAAATATTGCTTCAATTTACTAAAGATATACAAATAGATAAATGTTTAACGCGTTGTTGGCGCCACCATAACTGAAATCCCAAGGGCGTTATTTGAGCGTTTTGGTTTTTTTGTAGTAATTTTACAAAATAAACCGACATATATCCGAGACTTTTGCTTGCCAACTTCTTTCAGTAAATATTTTATTACCTGTAAAACACAAACTTTTGGAAAATATAAATGAATTTTATTTTAACTATTTTCGGAGCATACTTCAATCGCAGTAAAAAGAAAGGAACTAATAATAATAATAAACACCAGACTTCTAAAATACAAAAAAATAGAAATTGTTTAGTAATAAATATGTTAAAAAAGAAAATAAATAAATAAAAAGTAAAAAGATATTGAATTATTTTTCTCTAATCAGTTTTCTACAATTAGTTCTTCCACTCAGTGTTTAAAATGTTTTAAACTTAATTTACAATACAAAGTTATCTTTTATAAAAAAATCTCCACGTTCAAAAATCAAAAAAGTTTAAACGTTCGTTAGATATAGTTTAAATTTTAAGTTTATTTGAACTATGAAAAACAAAAGGTGAGGCATTATTAATGATTCACATGCTCATTCATGTGATTCAAAATTTAAAAGATTTAAAAAAATGAATTTTATAAAATCTTTTAAATTTAAAAAAAAAAAACATATTTTTAAATCTTTTTAAAAAAATGATTTTTTTTAAGAAAATATAATTAATTTTATCAGGCGCTTTTTGAATTGAAAAGAAAACGTGCCTCAAAAAGCGATGTTTTTAAAAACCTAGTAATGGCATTTAAAAGCAATTTGATTCACTTGACCTTTAGTCAAAGTACATATGTTTAGATTTCTTTAAAATAATTACATAAAATGA